AAAAAAAAAAAAAAAAAAAAAAAAAAAAACAGGAGTTGTAACTTTCCTCTCTGACAAAATAGACTTTAATAGTAACAAAGACTAAAAGAAACAAAGAAGGACATTACGTAATGGTAAAAGGATCAATGTAACAACAGGAGTCAATGCTCATAAATGTATACGCACCCAATATAGGAACACCCAGATACATAAGACAAGTTCTTAATGACGTATAAAGAGACTTGGACTCCCGCACAATAATAATTGGGAGACTTTGACACCATATTGTTAATATTCAACGGATCAATGAGATAGAAAATTAACAGGGACATCTGTGATTTGAACTCAGACCTGGAACAAGTAAACTCAGTGAATATTTATAGAATTCTTCACCCCAGGTCCATAGAACATACATTTTTCTCAGTATCATATTACACCTATTTTGAAAGTGACCACATAATTGGAAGTAAATCACTCTTCAGCATTTTCATAGCATTTCACAGACTTAAATGAAATATTGGTTGGCTGTTTGTTATTTTCTTCCCTTATTCCTTCCTGTCTCCGCTGTTAAGCACAATTATCGGCATAAAAGAGGTTTTTAATACCTATTTTTAGATTGCATTCCAGCCTGGGCAATAGAGCAAGACTCCTGTTCTCTCTCCCCCTTTCTCTTTCTTTAAAAAAAAAAAAATTAGCAGGGCATGGTGGCACAGAGCTATAGTCTCAGTTACTCAGGAGACTGAGATATAAGAATTGCTTGAATCCAGGAGATGAAAATTGCAGTGAGCCGAGACTGCGCCACTGCACTCCAGCCTGGAGGACAGAGTGAGACTCTGTCTCAAAACAAACAAAATCATGCTGCTTTTGTCACCATTATGTAGACATCGCTAGCCCCTGACTTGTCACTAATTGCTGATGCTGCCATTTGTACTTAAGCTCAAAGTTACCACTTGTGGAGACTAACAGGACAGTCCTGTCGATTCTCACCTTAGAGCCTTGCAGCTGAAGGAGTCCACCACCTCTACTGACGGCTGGTTGTTCTAGGATAGTGGCTCTCAAACTTTAGCCTGCATCAGAGCGACTCAGAGGACTTGATAAGATACAAATTGCTCATCCCCACTCTCAGAGACTTTGATTGAGTAGGTGTGGAGTGGGTCCTAAGAACACACACTTCTATCAAGTTTCCAGGTGATGCTGATCTTGCTGTTCTAGATCCACACTTCCCAGAACAGCACCCTAGGGGAAGATTCTTCCCAAGGCTATCTGAAGAAATCCTTCACTTGTTTCTGTGGCTGTTATTCTAAAGACATAAACTCTGCTGGTGCAACCTAAAGGAGAGCCAGCCTGAACCACTCCTGCAGTAGAGACTCCTGGCTGAACTGCACTACTTCTTCATGGAGTAAGAGAGGAAGATCCTTCTATGGCCTGGGTTCCTGGTATCTTAGTTCTTAGAATCAGCCACTCAGACACCCCCTAGAACTCAGGATGGCCACCTGGATCCAGGCAGATAGGTTCTCATGTCTACTGCCTCACAGACCCCAGAAAAACCCTTGACCTTGACGTTTAATCATCTAACTTTTGCCCAAGCCAGCCCTGGTTGGCTTAAAAATCTTTTTCTTATTTTCTTTTTTGAGATGTGTGCACTGTCACCTGGGCTGGAGTGCAATGGCACCGTCTTGGATCACTGCAACCTCTGCCTCTCAGGTTCAAGTAATTCTCCTGCCTCGGCCTCCCGAGTAGCTGGGATTACAGGAAACTGCCACCATGCCTGGCTAATTTTTTGTATTTTTTTAGTAGAGACAGGGTTTCACTATGTTGGCCAGGCTGTTCTTGAACTCCTGACCTTGTGATCCACCCACCTTGGCCTCCCAAAATGCTGGGATTACAGGTGTGAGCCACTGCACTTGGCCAAAAATCTTGTTTTTCTACATTTATGGTAATTTTATCTCAGAATTTTATCACTGAAGTTTTTTTTTTTTTTTTTTTTCAAGACAGAGTCTCATACTGTTGCCCAGGGTGAAGTGCAGTGGTGCCATCTTGGCTCACTACAACCTCTGCCTCCTGGTTTAAGCGGTTGTTATGCCTCAGCCTCCGAGTAGCTGGGATTACAGGCATGTACCACCATGCCTGGCTAATTTTTGTATTTTTAGTAGAGACAGGGTTTCACCATGTTGCCCAGGCTGGTCTTGAACTTCTGACTCAGCTGATCCACCCACTTCGGCCTCCCAAAGTGCTGGGATTACAAGCATGAGCCACTGCACTGGCCTATCACTGAACTTTTTAGGCTTACCTTGCCATTGAGCCTTACGCAGGACAAGTAGGCTGCCTTAATAGATTTGTATAACATTGAATTGGACCTTTCTGTCCTAGAGGGTCCCTGGATTCCTAACGCAATTTA